GGCGAGCATTGAATCAAGGCATCAATCACATCACAGCTCGTCAAACGGGCGTTGGAGGTTGACAAAGGAAGAGCGCCGTTTCGTCCCTGTTTATTGTTGCCCGTCGCTGGTATACAAGTCACAGCAGCTTGAACAAAGAGAGAGACAACGGCGATAGTTGGTGTACTTAATCTGGATCTGCGGTTGGATGGCTACATACCTTGTCCAGATCCGCCTCGTCCTGGTCTCTCTCTTTTGGCTGGTGTCTGGAGAACGCTCGTCCGTACAGGAGTACTCTTGTGCTATGGCTTTGCCCGGAGTACATATATATCTCTGCAAGGAGACCCAGAGTACGGAGCCCAGATGCAGGACGCCAACATCTTGTATCTGAATACCTCAAACCTCACGTTGATGCCGTTGTTGCCCTAGTTTACGCCACATCCGAGATTCTTACAGCAGTCTAGCTGTTTGCAGGGACAATCACCGTCAATCAGAAATAATCCCAGTGACGATGGGCGAAAAAAAATGAGCAGGCAAGGGAATCTGACAGGGGGAGGGGAACAAAAAGCCGCTGAACAAGGGCTAAGCTCCGGTTACATTGGATCCCTGGCTGGATACAAAGACCCTAGCCATCCCCATTCAGGTACCACCCAAAGCCCACAGTGCCGTTACTTGCAGATGACATGTCTGGCAGGCGTTGGTCTCTCATTACGAATAATATAAGGCCTGGTATAGTTAAGGCGAGAAGGTCTTGTTCAGAGAGTAGCTCACTCTGCTGAGAATTTCCCCTGGAGTTGAAACGCGGATATAAAACACTCGAGATATAGCTACTCGTCTGCTAGTTTCGTTATTTTGACAGCATATATCGTTGATGGCCTCGGTATGGAGCCTTCTCGCGGAAAACTTTTGCCATCCGGAATTTATACAAGGCCTTAGGACTGCTATAGGTTAGAGTGTGTAGAGTCTGGAGATGATATTGTTATAATGGTTAATCGACCAGAGCGGTTTGAGAGTGTCACTGTTGATTCCGTCAAAGCAGGAGACATTCGCCCCGAACGATGAAATACTGGCAGCTACCACAGGATCTTGTCTGAATTCCAAGTAATCCATGTCCCACACTTGGTCATTCTGATGCTGGCGCTTGAGGGTGAGAGGCTGAGAACAGAATTTTTTTTCTCGTGCTACGCTTTGAGCTCTGGCAAATACTGAACCTAGAAGCACCAATCTTAGTGTTAAGCTTTGGATACGGCTCGACTGCGTCGAAGGTTATGCTGTAAATCAAACTGTTTAGAACCAGTTTTGAGAATCCTGGCTGGACCTGACATTCAAAAGATGAGAAGAGCCCTGTCGCAAGCAACCTGCTATCCCGTGAAAATTTAACGGACATGACCTCTGGAGAACCGGTATAAAGCGCTTTAAGGCACTTGCAAGTTGCTATGGCCCAGATGTTGAGATATCTTCCTTGTACCGCTAATGCAAGGTAAATATTATCACTCGAGAAGGCGATTCATGTGGTCCTCTGACCCAAAAATTCAAGCTCTACTACACATATACCTGATGCTGCGCCAATCACAGTGAGAATGAAACTGTGTTGACGGAGTAATGAGGTATAAATCCCCAGAGACAGTCACCGAGTCCTGTATCCCAGGTGGTAACATGCTGATGCGCTTGTGGGTGGTGCTACAGGGGATTGATTTTCAAAATCCTGATATAGGCACCCGAGTTGACGTTCCTAGTCTTAATATGGTTGTAAGATCCTGGAGAAGATGGGGGTGTCGATACAAGGTTGCTGCAATCTAGAGAAGAGGAAATTTGCTTGACAAAGGGGTGGCGCGAATATGCAGAATTAGATTCTAGCGTGGTGTTGGGCCCCTGGAAAGCTTGCTAGTCACTACTTATAATAGTTGGTTTCCGTCGGGCGAGAATGTAACAAAATTCGGAGGCGTGCCGTGGTCCTTAAATTCGATCTTGACAGTTGAATTGCCCGAAGCTGATGCAAGCGAGATACCATCTGGCAAAAATGCAACAGAATTAACCGGATATAGATGCTCTCGATTGTTTTGACGCACGATCATGCCGCAACATCCCAGAGCTTAATTGTGCAGTCCTTAGAAGGTTCAAGGCGAATTCCATCCGGTGAAAATGCAATTGAGGTTATACTGCCTTCATGGTGCTTGTCATGAGTTATAACGCAGTTGCCGGTGTCCAGATCTTGGATTTTTATCAACCCTTCATCTTGTGGCAATGCAATCGGATGGCTGTCTGTGGAATATGTGACGGACCTGAATTCTGTTAGGAGTGACCTGGAAAGACCTGCTTCTATATCCCATATCATAGCAGACCGAGGCGAGCCGTTTGCTATTTGGTGTAAATGCAATTGACTCGACAGGTTAGCCATGACCTGCTGGTATTTGGATACAACTCTCTGTTACTATATCCCACAATCTAGTAACACCATCCACCTGGCTTAAAATCCGGCAACGAAAAGTGACCAGACGCAGATGCGAGAAACTTTCCATCTTGGGAAAATATAACTGCTTTAAATGGCTACCATAGCCATTAAACTTTGAGATACATGCGCTGGTCTTCACGCCCCAGGGTTGAGAGTAGGGGGACCGTTTCCATATTTACCAACATCTACTGCAAGCGGATCGTTATCTAATGAAATTGCAATGGAGTTAATACAACCGTCATCGGTGTCATCTGGAATCGTCGCATTGTCACGGACGCCGGGAGACATGGTATAGTCTCCGGTAGCAGCGTCCCACAACTTGATGTTACTCAATGAGGCCGGGGAAATCCACCCTCAGTAACCCCCCTGTTGAGAGCAGCTGTAAACATTGGTTTGCAAGTCATTCGTTTCTTGCTCATCAATCCGGAATGGGTTCTTTTCGTGGTGCTTATGGTGATTAAATCATGAAATGACAGATGAAGGAGCTTAGCCGGCATATTGGGATCGTAAGGTAGATAAGTCTACTCAGCTTCGATTCTATACTTTACTAATGCTTCCTGGGTAGTCAGGCAGTGACGCAATGGAGAGAGGGCCAACAAGTCCAACGAGGTCGTGGAACCACTCTAGGACCTCTGTCTTCTAACCATCGCTGCGTTGTTTCAACCCTGACCCATCACGCTGCAAGAGGAGCTGATATAAGATTGAGATGGGAAGATAGGTGGTGTGCGGCTGTGATGAGCTATTGGTATTGCTAAAGTCTGGAAAAGGCAACCTTTGGACAAGCTGAGAGGAATGGCACTGAGCAGTAGGGCTACTTCGTTGCGATCGCTTTCGCTCTCCTTGAAGAAAAAAGAAATAGCAGCCACGTTGCTCATCTTGGAAACATGAATTGCTATGCTGTGAGCTATTGTAGGCTTGCCAGTTCCAGCCAGGCCCTACAGCCAAAGATGCTTTTTCCGCCTGAGCTCTCTAGTTGTCTGTATATATCAGCAAGGAGACCAACTTGGATGTTAGGATGATACCTAGGGTCATGGCCGTTGGCTTGAAAATCAAAGGCCACATCAGCCACAGGTGGTGCAGACATGACGGGTTTGATATTTATATCTAGGGCCTCGGCACTGGAATCCAGTATGGGTCAGAGATGTGTATTATGGGCATTCTCAGTATTCGCATTCCTCACTCACATCTGATCTACCTAGAGGGCAGAATCAAGGTACGCCAGGTCTAGCTAGAGGTACCCGAACGTCCTTGTGATTGACTTGCTGTTGGGAGTCTGCAGGTGGCCTATCAATTAAGTCTTGCTACTGCTACTCAGCCACTCACTTTGCTTTCGAGTTTCGTAGCAGAGTCACAGCGACGCTCCTGGGTAGAGCTAGGGCCTTTCCAGCTTCTATAATGACTTGAGCCGGCTTCTAAGCGGCCCATCTAGAAGCTCCCGTACGGACTAGAGAGTCGTCTTTAGCCGTTTAGCGCGCCCCAGCAAGCTTTTGATCTCAGGCCAGAGTTCTTGACTGAGTGATAGTATTTGAAACAGAGAGACGTGGACTTTGACACCCAGATCAACAATTACTGCGACAATATTCGCGATTCCTCCCATGGTGAGCACTCCATCATTTGGGCATCGAGGGTATATTGACAATCTAGGAGGCTGACAGCTATGGAAGAGGGAGCTTTTATCCCACTCGTCCCATACGGCCATCAGAATGGAACTTCTTTTTCTTTCTTTTTTCTTTAGCTGACTATGGAGTGCATATTGATGAAATTGGGATGATGATAATGAGTGACGTTGAAGAATGTCAACTTTGAGATTGAAGAATGTTTGAGCTGCTCGTCGCTATCGTCCGCCATTACTTGTGTCTAGCTAAATATTCACAACAGACGAAAAACCGCCAACTCGACCACTTTTTAGCCTTCAGTTGAACAAACACCACAAATATAAACGACTGACAAAATCACTGTCGGATTGACCAGGAGGAGAACCTGGCACTGAGAACGACCATTTTTTTCCTCTCTGGTACTAGTCGATCGTCTTTGGTCTTGCGTTGAAGTATCCAACTACAAACAGCTGGCTTGGTGCGAGTGAAAATGCAGTAACAAAGGCCAAAGATGCTTCTCGATCCGAGTATCCCATCAGTCGACACCCAAGAGGCTATTCTTTATTAGACAGACAGCACTTGTACCCCCAAAGTCAGTACAGCATCATGCCAGCTTGTTTAAGAGATATTATCTTATACTTACTAGTCGAAATTAGTACCAACTGATTCCTGACAACCCGTTCGCCCTTGCTATCAGGCGCTGTTTCATTATTCTACAACTTTATCCCCAGAGTAGAGCGAAGAGCAGTAATGGTGTGATGTCTGGAAGCCTGCGGGAAGCCGTCGACAAGGACTAGCCCAGCTTTCAAGGCCGACCCCTTGACGTGACAGCGACCGATTCGGACGCTACAGCTACATGCTTCGATAATTACACGATGACAGTGTGATAACAAATAACTAAGCTGTATGCAAGGATATAATTTTTGGGATATACTATGTATCTCAAATGATATATTGAATAATACACACTAGCCTCTGCCCCCAGATATGGCCATTAACTAAGGAGACTATTCTACTACAACTAAATATAACTAAGGGGGGGAAAGTTACATAGTTATCAGTTATTCTGAACAACAGCTCTTATCATGATAACTATCATTCGATTTGAGAAACAGCCAAGAGAACTCGCTTACGTGCAGCGTCGAACCCCTGGATTCACCTATCGGTTGACCATGTACATAGTATGGATCACTGACTCACTTGGGCTGCATCCGTTGCGATGGGTCGCGGTTCGTATTCCAGCGTTCAATCATTAATGAGCGCCCGGTATTTATATAAAGCAGTGGCGGTCTATCCTTGATTGACCGGAAGCTGAGGATGTGTTGAATCCGATGTCTGCTCACATATCAGATATGAAATATTTCTTGAATAGTGCCGAGTTGCTTGAAGGTAGATATACATAGTATGTTGGTGTTATCAACCCATGTAATATTATTCTAAGCGAAGGGTTTTGAGAACAACTGCGTTCGTGCGGGTGGTTTGTTGGTAGTGGATGGAACAAGGATGATGACCAGCATGGGCCCCAGGTTATCTTACCCCCTGATCCTCGTCTCTCCAGGGAGCTTACATGGGCGAACAACCGTTACAAAACATCGTTATATGCACAATATCGCTTCGCCAATAATGCCTGCTAACAGCCAGCCTCTTTCACCTTCCTTCCTTCCGCTCTGTCTGTTGTATTTATTTGAGCTTGATATATGGCCATAATGATACCTAGACAGCAATTATCCAGCCCTACCCGAAGGAGATGCGACCATAGAATTGGCAATGGGAAACACTAATATTGACGAAGAAACCGCTGGACAGTCAGGAGTCACTGTCGCCGTCGCCGAGGGCGCTGGCGATGCGAACCCTAAAAAGTCTCTCAGCTATCGGTTCTGGATAGCATTTTGGGCCATCGCCTTCACAAACTTAGCGGCTGCATATGATTCTACCACTTTAGCAGTGGCCTTGCCGGTAATGATCCCCACTGTCAAAAGTATTTGAGACTTGTATAGCTGATACATACCTGACAGGCGATATCTATGGACCTTGGAGGCTCGTCCATAGAGGCATTTTGGACCGGCACTTCATACCTACTTGCAACAACCATTTTGATGTTGATATGGGTCACACTAAGCGATGCATTCGGCCGCCGCTTAATTATTACCATAGCATTGCTGATATTTGCTGTGGGCGCTGTTGTCTGCGCCATTGCGCATAACTGGACCCAAATGCTCACCGGACGAACGGTTCAGGGGATCGGAGGAGGCGGAATTATCGCCATGACAACTGTTATAATCACGGATATGGTGCCTTTACGTGAAAGGCCGAAATTATTTGCATGCATCAGCGCTGTGTGGGCAGTGGGGAGCACCACAGGCCCAATAATTGGCGGAATTCTGGCGCAGAGAGGAGCCTGGCAGTGGATATTTTGGCTGAACCTCCCTATAGTCGCAATTTCGATGGCGGGAATCGTCCCATTTCTGAGACTATCTAGCCGCTCACGGACTTTGTCTGAAAGACTTGCGTTATTCGACTTTCCAGGATCAGCATTAATGATTGCATCCCTCACATCTTTCCTCATTCCGGTAACTTGGGGTGGTGTGCAATACCCCTGGGATAGTTGGCATACTCTGGTACCATTGACACTCGGAGCGGTAGGCCTCGGTGTGTTCGGTACATACGAGTTCCTTGCCAGGTCATGGACTGGGAAGAGAGTGGTGTTTATACCCCCAACTGTCTTCAGAAACCGATCTGTCGGCATTCTATATGCTGGTAGCGTTTTCCATGGCCTCGTTCTCTACAGCCTGGTATACTACTTGCCAGAGTATTTTCAGTCAGTAAAAAGCTATACACCTCTAATCTCCGGGGTGTTAGGCCTACCACAAACAGCAACTATTGTCCCATGCTCTGTTATCGTGGGAGTCGCGGTAGGAAAAACTGGTAAATACCGCTGGGCGATATGGGCCGGCTGGACGCTGACATGTTTGGGGCTCGGGATTCTTATTCTCCTGGGTATACAAACAGCCGTTATACAATGGGTATTCCTTGCAGCAGTATCTGGCTTTGGAATCGGTTTGCTATTCCCATCCGTCCCTCTAGCGATTCAGGCATCAGTACCTCAGGAGGATGTTGCCATGGCCGCTACGCTTGTACAGTTTTTCCGGTTTTTAGGACAAACCCTTGGTGTTGCAATGGGAGGAGCAATTGTCGACAACCAATTACGGAGAAATTTGGTAAAGGCAGGCTTACCCGAGCAGCCAGCGTCGCTTCTAAAGCTGATAAGGATACTCAAAGAACTTCAGCCTGACACTACTTTAGCCATTGCCCTGAAGGGTGCGATGTCAAAGTCATTCCGGACCATTTGGGTTGTTATGTGTATTTTTTCTGCGGCAAATCTTTTGCTAAGTTTGTTCGTTGTGGAGTATAGTTTAAACCAGGAGCACAGGACAGAGCAGCGCTTCATACACGAAGAGGGTGAGCACGTTGATTCAAACAAGGACTCAGGAGCGGCATCATCAAGCCCAGTGCCCAGCAGCCAGTAGCGTTAGTATGTTAAGAAGGGATTTTATTACCTAGTATGAGCTTAACTTACTCCGCTCAAGTACCAGGATATTCCTCCAAATTCTCTTTCTCATATAGGAGCCCTTGGCTTGAGCATTGTTGTCTATTGTTTGATTTTTCTCATCTGTTATGCAACGGGGTGTTTTCCAAACTCAAGCAACAGGACGATTCCATGAGGTCATTTTTCACCACCCATTGATCCCTTCATGGCATTGGCATTACGCCAACAGGTCTGGGGATGGCGTGCTGGACACACACTCAACAGAGCCTCAATGTAGACCAGATAGATCGTGGTATAGTAAATTTGGATTATGGCCCTGGTATATCCCTCGCGGCGCTAACCTCTTAGGTATTGGGCATGTACCTCCATGACAAATAAAGAGTGCATTGTCTGCAGTGATAGCTATAGATCAATGCTCCGGATACGAAACCAGCCAGGCTATCTTCACTGCATGTTAGCAACCAACGTCTTCTGAGGCATATCGCGCGATTTGATAGGCTCCTAGAGCCTTAACTAATCCTTCATGGGCAGACGGCTCAGAACCCCACATTCAAGGAACAATGCATGCAAACCCCAGCCCAGCTCCAACCCCCGCATAATGGAGTCTGTTCAAATGCCTGCAAGGTGATTTATTTTGCTGATGGCTCAAGATGCCCAAGATGTTGTTCTGTTCTGAAGGTTGAAAAGTCGTTCAGCTTTTATGTTGAGTTCTCCTTTTACCACTAAGTCACCTGATTAGTTAATCGGCATTTCGGTTCTTCGGCTTTTTGGCCCGGAAGTTAAAAGTTAAAGTAATAATAGAACAACGTCAAGATATCGATCCGAGTATTTATTGTAACCTGATCTGCCAGATTCAAGGTGAGGACATTATGAGCCAAGAGTGTGTGGGATTAGTTAAGTGAGTCATCTTTCCGCAGTTCTCCTATCAAACGGCCGCCAATAAATGACCATTTAAGCTATGTATGCGGTCTAGGGTACTTCCCCGAATAAGGGGACAGGGGACGAGAATCCTACAGTGGAGAAGCCTAGATGGGAGTTGTTCAGAAATCGCACTATTGAGAGGCTAGGGTTTATTGATTACTGCCTTTACTGAGCGGGAATACGACGCTACCATGTAGCACGTCAGTATATGCATACCAGCGGACTTGACATCTAATGCAATGGTATGCGCCTTGGCCCTTCAGCTGCAGTATTCTACTCGTGTCCTTCGAGGGAAATAACTTGCGGAGAAGAAACCTTTGAATTGCCGGAGTCGTACGAGGGCGCTCGTGTTCTTGGTGGTTTTGGCTATAAATTGGGCTGTCTCGTCATGAGATTGAATGAAAACTATTAACTTTACCCGGTATTGTGATAATTGCATAACGGGCTTTTCATAAAAATACTTTTCTCACTTCTTTTTCTTCCCCTATATACGATACAGCAGAGCATCTGACCCTATGGCGACTTGCCAGAAGATCCAAGTCCGATCAAAGAAAGATGAATGTAAGATATGCAAAATCTCATTGATTTTGATATAGCGCTAATATATTATCAGCTCTTCTGCTGGATTGCTCATGGTCTATTCTTAAAAGGCCACCCACTGGAAATTCCTGGCAATCCATGGATATTGTCTTCCAACGCTTGTTTTCATCCAATGTCAATATACCTTTAAGCAGCACTGAGGACATCTATCTGCTATATCTTGATAATGAAAATTCCCCCCAAGAAATTTTATCAAAATCTCTTGGTTCAACAAAAACATTGCAATTCATCTTGCAATGCCTTCACTCCACAAATACGTCTAGTTACGGGCGTTTAGTGAAACTTATTGTCCCTCTACAGAAGGGATATATTGTGCGCTCAGACATTATTCCTCTGCGCCTTCGCGATTGTCAATATGTTGAGGCTGCAGTGTCCTTTGCAGAACCACTTCAGATATACGAAAGCACCATTCTAGGTGACAAAAAGGCAAACAGCCTTCTAGAGCTCTTCGCCACCTCGGCGGCTGGCCTCATACTCTATCCCAGTCCTGAGCATAATTCAGACGTCGGTACTAAGGCACTCTCTCTGATAGTTGAGTCGGAGCTAGAGAACCGGCTGTCATTTCCATGGATACTCCCTGGAACAGAACGGCACAAAACCCTTGTGCTTGTTGATGCAAATACTGACCATCCTGACCGAGGTGGTACTGGATCAGGCTTTTACCTTGCAGCCATAGAGACCGGTGTCAACATAGTCGTGATGGATAACCCAGGACACTGGCTCGAAGGATCCGATTATGCACACTGGCGCGAGGCCTTTATCCCAACCCGATTAACTAATCCGGTGGAGGAGCAGTTGGCTGACCACATTACCAAATCGTTGAAGGCATATGGCAAGCCGGTGGATGGTATTGTTACATTCGCTGACACGTACTGGCCCTACATTGCGAAGGTCGCCCAGCAGTTTGGTTTACCAACTTGTCCACCAGAGGGGCTCAGGACAGCCACAAACAAGTATCTGACGAGTAAATTCGTCGGCCACAATGCTCATCATGCATGTAGCATGGATGAAGCTCTTACTATTGATAGAGAAAATGAACTTCCATACCCGCTGATCGTGAAGCCTTGTGATGGATGGAGCTCAGAGGGAGTGTCTCGTGTTGATTCCCCAGAAGCTCTCACCCAGGCTATCAGATCTATTGATACATCCCGCCACGGAACCGAATTTGTCATGGAACAATACTGCGATGGCCCAGAATTTGACGCTAATTTTGTCTTGCTAGACGGAGAGGTTCTTTTCTCTGAAATCTGTGACGACCTGCCAAAGTCAGCCGATATCAATGGCTCTGGCGAACGCTTAATCACCAACTTCCACGAGTTAAACAGTGTATATCCATCGGCGTTACCGTCTCAGGAGATAGATGAGATCCGTAGCAGTTTCCTCAATACGCTACGCAAGCTAGGTCTCAATAATGGCATTATGCACCTAGAGGGTCGCATCGAGCACTCATCGGTTGAGTATACGTCACAGGATGGAGTTCTCAAACTAACCCCTGTGGCTAATAAATCTATCACTCAACCGCCTAAACCATGGCTTATAGAGATCAATCCACGTCCTCCTGGTATGACTGCCTCCCAGATTACCGAATCTACTTACGGGATTGAATACTGGGGTCTCGCCGTTCTAAGCGCTGTGCGTGACAAGGCTCGTGTTCGTGCTCTATCTCAGCCATTCAAATATGGGGCCCAGTATACCTGCGTTATGGCCTTTATCCCGGCCGATTTTCCATCTACTTGTGAGGGTATCTTCGACTCAGACGATATTTGTGCCGATTTAATGTCTCGGAGACCAGACCTCGCCAAAAATATTAGTCGATGTGCATGCTTTATCAAGCGAGGCCAGAAGGTCCCACATCCTAATTCTGGTCAGAATACTTTTATGGCATATTTCAACGTTTTTTCAAGGGCGGGAAGGGAGGAGGCGCTCAATTTGGCAAGGCAAATCAGACAAGAGGTCCGTTACTCGTTTGTTTGAAACTGGGGTAGCACTTTTTCACGATACTAGTATAATATAGAATAGAGGGCGGGCTCTTGTCAACCAAGAATGGAAGGTGAATTGGGTGGTTGGGATTATATACGTATCATCATTCAACATTATAATTGTCTACGCTGTAGACCGTTAGTTGTCATGCTCTACGAAATCTAGATATTAGTTTATCTTATCACTATATAGCCTTCTATTGCGCCCTTATAAGCTGATGTACAACAAGATGTTAACCTAAAGATTTCAGGGCCTTCGATATTAATCCAACCCTATCAGCAACAATTAGATCGACTCCAGCTTTGGCTTGTACCTATTTTGCAGTTACTAAGAATTAGAACCTCCCATGCACAAGATATATAAGGTCGGGTAAGTAAACTCACCTTCACACTCTCCGGAACATTGTTTAATGGTCCGTAGGTAGCGCACACCAAACCTTTCCCCTTTACATAGCCGACTAGCTGCGGGCACATTACAAGGACATCAGAAGCAAGAACAAGTCCAGCCAAACCCCATTGAGTTGCAAAGCGGACAGCAACTTGTAGACTTCCAGCTCGCTCTTCTAGATCTGCTACCGGCAGCTTTCCCGCATTGGTGATGAAGAAAATAGGGTATGCCTTTTGCTTCATTGCAAGCAAAATGCAAATTTCAGGGGTGAAGGATGAGAGTATTATATTGCGAGAGCCGGCAAAAGAAGATATCAAGTTGAGTATTGTGTCGACAAATGTATTAAGATCGATGGCTATGGGGGAAATTTCAATCGCGGAAGCTTCATGGATACGGGGATATTCTAAAATAGTAAGGTAAGGGGCTTCAACCTTAAAGCAGGGTATTGGGTGGAACATACTAAGCTCTATATCAAACCCTACACCTTCGGGAACTTCACGCAGAGCTTCTTCCAAAGTTGCAAGAGGCGTTTGAATAAAGTCTCCGCGGGTATTAGGTTTAAACCCTTTGCTCGAAAAGTAAATTGTGTGTTTCATTCTTTCTCTAGCTTCATTAACTGGTTCTCTTTGGTTTCGGGATAATGATCGCGAGCGAGACCTAGAGTCATTGGAGCTATCTCCTGGTGACAGTTGCATAGTGCTAGTATGTATAAACTAGATACATCAGATACTGTGCCATGAATCCAGCGGCAACACTTACTTGTTTCAAAGTTAGATCGTGAATTGCAATATCAGTGCCCGACTCGCTCAAAGATAAGTCATGATAAAGCACTGGCACAAGATCCCTCGTTAATTGCACATCTGTTTTCAGAATATGAGTAAAGAAAATTAGTAATGCCACAGGATAGACAATGATATTTTACCGAACTGTGGAATAATCAGCATATAATCTCAGAATAGCCTCGCGATTAGTTTAATATATTTACCTCGACATGAGATGCTCCCAGGTTAGCAGCAGATATGAATGACTAGGTCAATTAGCTCATGTGTCTTCCAACCAATATAGAAACCATATATTACCTGGATGGTATTCTCTCCTAGCTGGAGGTAGTCACGGTCACCAGTATTCTGTCCGGAGCCTGCAGTGGATGTCAAAAGAGAATGTATGGGGGAAGATTGCATGCATACCTCTATGTCCAATTAGCTGTGTAGACTGTAGTTGCTTCAAATATTCAAAACTCGAAGTAGGAGTATTTAATCTCGAAAATGGAGTGGCAATAAAGGATGTGAATGTAATAGTCCCCAGTAGCTTCATCGTTTCCTTCGCCAAAATTGGTACAGTACTCTCCCTGACTAGGCTCTCATGGTGAGAGCAATTCGCTTCATCCCTGCTCCGGAGAAGAGCAATGCCGCTGCCAATAAGTGTATCGCCCGTGCAAAACGAAGTATTTCTGAACAACTTGAACATAATATAGGCTTCTGAAAGGTTATCAATAGGGAATAACAACGTATCGTCAATTAAATCGCCTAATAGCGGCACTCTTAGTATCTGAGTTACACCCTTAGGAGAAGTTGAGATCTCCAAAGAGAGTGTCGTATTCAATAGCTCTTGACTCAGATCTTGTAATAGATGCTTTAAATCGAGTGGCTTGACTTGTCTCCGTTTCTGAACAACCCCTAGGTTGACGACGAGGTATGTGGTGCCATCCTGTAATTTATGGTTCGATGCTGCCGTATAAGGTCGTCCAATGGCTGATATCAACGGCTTATCCACCTCAAGCCTATTAGCAACTGCAAAATGGCCCCTAAATGCGGCATGCTCCTTTGCCGTCCAGCCTCGGTAGTCAAGTAGCCGTTCATTCGCACCAACGCGCAGGAGAGCTTCAACTATTGGGATATAACCCTTCACACTTGCCGTGATTAACGGTGTCCATCCGTATGCTATTTCCTGGACGTCAACGTCCCCATTTAAGCGGGAGGCTGCCTCCAAAAGTATGTCAATGTAGTCTTCACGCCCGGTTTGGCAGGCAACATGTAAGCAAGTTTCTCCATTGTTAGAGATTTGGTCCATGTTAATGCATCTAGAAGCTAGGAGGCGAACAATTTCGTCATATTGGTATTTGATAGCTATAAGTAGGAGATGGCTGAGGGTTTTATTCAAACTATCATCTCCGTCTCCGTCCAACGTAGCCAAAAACAACCGTGTAATGTGAACGTGCCCTTGTATAACAGACCAGTGGAGCGGAGTTATACCCATAGCGTCTGCGGCTAGAATGGCTGGCTTAAGGGGGATGTCCTGACAATGTAAAGCTTTGATAATAGATTCGCAAATCGTTGGGAGTCCATACTGTGCGCTATAATGGAGGGTAGACATCCCAGCAGCGTCTGGGGTAAGTAGGATATCTTTGGCCTGGATCCCAGCAAGGTCAAGCATGAGTCTAAAAAGTTCTGTGCCCAGCTTATGGGAGATATGATTTTCACTCATTGACGCATTTCCCTTGCGAATTAGGCTCTGTAGATGAGGCCGATGAATTGCCCTAAGGAGGCCGTTTAGCCAGGTATGATCAACCCAGGACCCTAACTCTGCAGGGCTGCTCTCTATCAATGTTTTTGTGCACGACCAGGCACTGAATATGAATGACATTGCTAAAGATTCATAGAACAGTTCCTCGATCAGAGGTTTAGAGGATGTGCCAAAGATGAACTTTAGTTTCCCAAACATACCGCCCAGATCGGAAGCTTGGTCAGCAGCAATGCTATTGTTAATAGCAGTGAGATATGGCAGGGCTTCGGGATGTTCGTCTGAGAAATGTATCAAACAGCGGGTAATCTGAACAGAAGAGCGAGACTCTTCATTAGTTAAAGATATATCATCAATTAGAACTTTTAACCTCTCCATCTCTTCCAAACACTTCTTTTCACGAGAAGGCTGCTCTTCAATGAGTCTGGATATCTCATCAAGGCATTTGAATGGAAATGATTTGTTAACTTTCTCAGCCTTCGCATATATCCTTTGAGACGCTTCATAGTTCAACCTATTGAACAACTGTAGCCTGGTATACTGCTCGAGTAGTTCCGCATATAACAACCGGCTGTTAGGTATCTGTGATCCTGGCCCATGGCAGACTCGCCTATAAGGCTCGAAAATTGCTTCCTCCTTGCCTCGTAGTGCTGTAAACTGGCCTTCAGAGAACATACCCAGGCCTGCAAGCGAATTGCTGAATGACGAGGAAAATTCTAGTATGGAGTCAGACAGTAACTATACACCTAACACGATAAAGCAGGACATACCACTTAGGTCGATTCCATACTGCGATACATGCGACTTGTCCGTCGCCAGCTTCAGCAACCCCTTCAGCTTCCTGTAAGGGAGGTAGTAGGATCCCCACTCAGGTACCTGGAACAACAAGAAATTTTCTTCGAACTTCATGGCGGCCTTGTATTGACATGTATTCTCAGATAGAATATGGACTGAGATGTCTTAGGCCAAATCGTAAGCGAACGAGTTGACTATGTTGACATGCAAGTCTTTGACCAGGCGTCAAATTGGAGCCCGGCGCTTAACTAGCAAGTTAACGAGTTAACTAACTAGTTAGTTGACCAACAACTCGCCATGCAACATAACCAAGTGTGTCAATAAGGTCGGAGATGTTCCGTACCTTGCGAGTGAATGACTAGTTTCTAGGCCGTCTGCTAGTTATATTCAGCCATGGATCCGCTATCAATAACAGCCAGCATCATCGCTGTGGGCACCATCGCAGGCCAGATATGCTCTGCTTTCACCGAACTGAGGTCGCTCTGCCACAGCCTCCCAGGCCGTCTACATGCGCTGAACAACGAAGTCGCTGACTTGGAGGTTGTTCTCTTCGAGCTCGCGTCTCTTACTGAAAGACGAAAAGCGGTGCTAGAAAGCGATCTGCTGTCTCTCCAGCATCTAGTCAAACAGGCGAGAGTCAAACTGCAGGAACTGCAAGGCATCATCAACCGGCTACGGAGAACATATCGAGATGCGGCCATTCCGTTTGTCCTTGGAGGCTTCAGCAAGGAAAAGGCCAGGGTCCACGCGCTCCAAGAAGAAATCAGGTCTGTCAAGTGTGATTTGAACATCATGCTAGGAACCTCGAACTCGTATGTTTTTGACCGGTTTGGCTTGAGACTATTCTCTGTCTAATATGGCTATAGGCAAGATATGATTGATATGCGTCTTCAGCTGGAGGCCATATCTGTTCTCACCAGGGAATCTTCTCAGGAAAATCTTGCTTTACAAGGCCAGATCATCAGCAGTCTTACCCATGTTGATGAGCGAGTAGCTCGAGTCGAGGAACTCTTGCGTTCCCAGGCGCAGAAAGTCAAGGAAGAACAATTCACACAAGTTGGACCGCTGTATAATGTTGCTACCAACCGGGGTACCTCTCTTTCTAGGAATGCCGTTATGCCCAGAGACAGGCAGCTAGAAGGATATAGTGGCCCAGCTACACCGTATAGGCTTCGATGCACTCCAGGATGTGTATGTGTCTGTCATACCCAGCTAAAGAGGGCATCTCCAGGCCTTTTCAACCGGCTTTTCGGCCAACTATTCGTTAGGTACTCGGGGATCCCCTATCTTTCACCAAGTTGTGATGTTGATACCTGCACGAAATCCCGTGCGAGTAAGATGTGTATGGAATACTGGTTCCCTATGGGGTTTAATTCAATAATTCTTCGAATGCAGACCGGGTATCAAGCAAACACTGGTCTCCTTTTCCAGCTTCAGACCCTGCGAAGTGTTCCAGACGACGCGCAATGTGTAAAGTTTGCTTTAGACGGGAACATTGAAGGCTTGAAATACCTCTTTGCCAATGGGTTAGCATCTCCTAGAGATGTGAGTCCGACGAGGGGATACACCCTTCTACGATGGGCACTCTACGGGAAGAAATATACCACCTGTGAGTTTCTCATCCACGCAGGCGCCGACCCGGATTATAGGCCTATAGCTATGTCAGATAATAGCCCGCGAATCAAGGCGTGTCATTTCCTGCTGGAAGGCGGCCTACCGGAAGAAGGCACCGATGCACTGCATTTGATATCAAGAGGTGGCTATTATGACGATTTCATCGAAGAGTCAAATTTCACTCAGATCCATCGTATCGTTATTGGGCTATCGCTTCGGAGTTTAGAAGAAGAGCTCAAGCTGCATCCAGAAGATATTAACACTCAAGACGCTATGGGTCGGACGCCGCTGGCTTGGGCGGCAGCACGGGGAGACAGCCACTCGGTAGTGATCTTGCTGAGCCACGGAGCCGATCCAAACATCATAGACGTACAGATATCTGGGCCTGTATCGAATGCAGCAGCAAGGGGCTACACTGCCTGTGTTCGATTATTGTTGGAGGCAGGCGGCCATCCGGACCCTCCGATGCCTCCAAAGGTGAAAAAGGGCTCCCCCCTAAATGTAGCGGCTCGCAATGCAACCGACATCCTCCTGCTCAAGAACCTTCTAGACTTTGGAGCGGATCCCGATTCAAGCGGGACGGATGGAGATACCCCCCTAATACACGCTGCCCGAACCGATAATGCTAGCTTTGCGATGTTGTTCCTGGAGTACGGGGCAGATATCAACTACATGTCGGCAACAGGGGCTACTCCTCTAACTACTGCCATCACCTACAACAGCCACAACGTCCTCCGCTTGATCCTCGACAAGTGGCATGAATATTCCGATTGCCCACGCTTAAAGGCTCCAGACTTGCTCCAGGCCGTAGCTCTATACGCAGATGTTGAGACGATGCGTATTAT